TGATAATGTATGCGTTAATTCAGCCCTTTATTACTGATCACTTTTCTCATTAATGCCATTCTCTACACTCATTATCAGTATTTTATCTGGGACACACATAAATGAAGTTTGCTCTGAAATCCTTAGATGATTTATCGTGTTCAAATCCCTCAGGGGTCCTAAATGAAATCAGTGCCTTTCTTCTTTTACCCAGAATACATATCATCAGAACATTATGCCTTCTAAAGGCAGAGGAATAGGGCTCATAATAATCTTATTCATACACAAAATATTTGAATTTTGACCAGGTTTAATGTCCTTGAAATTCCCAGGATGCAGCTTGGCATTAGCATGGAGACCTGCTTTCCGGTAGGCAGTTATTCATTCTACTCAACTCTGAGTTGTCACGTCCACGTTTTTTTCCCCCCCGTTCTCTGGTCTCGATTGACCAATCATTCCTCAGACTATTGGCAGTAGATCAGAGTTCATTAAGCAGCCTACGCTACCGAGCTACTATTGATTAGCTAAGTGATTTGTTATCTTGAGTAACAGCTTCTCAATGGTCGGTCAGAGATAATGCCGCCCCATCCGTGCTCTTCTCACGGTATCTTAATGACCCCATTCAGATAATTACCTTCTCAAACATTAGTAATTTAATTGACGGGAAGGTCTAAAGAGGCATGTGAATCCTGTTGTTGGTTGAGCCAAATATTAATTAAAAGTGATGTGTATATTTTTTTTCTATGTCAAAGTTTTTCTAATTACTAAAAGTTAGGGGGTTTTTTGTATGTTTGTTTTCCTACGAGAGTAAACACTGGTGCTGTGAGTTTTTGAACATTGTTTAATTGAGCTCTCTGAAGTGTCAACTGGCTCAGCTAATGGCATGTGTTTGGATGTGGACTACCTGCTGGCTTAACATTGGCAATATTTCCAGGCCATTTGGTTCTGATTACGGTTTTTGCGCAAAACATACACAATCATTGTAGTCTGATTCATAAACAAAAGACTATTTCGAGCTGGTTCTTTTTATTTAATCAGATACATTCATACAGTCAGTGTGACCGGTTTATCTCATTCCTGAACTAGTGACTCTTATATGTCATTCCTTTTTAGTGAATCAAACACATACATTGCGACTGGATCTCATTCCTGAACTAATGACTCTTATGAGTCAATTCTTTTTAGTGAATCAAACACATACAGTGCAGCTAGTGCAGTCTGATTTCTGAACTAATGACTCGTATGAGTCAATTCTTTTTAGTGAGTCAAACACATATAGTGCAGCTAGTGCAGACAGTCTGATTTCTGAACTAATGACTCTTATGAGTCAATTCTTTTTAGTGAATCAAACACATACAGTGCAGTCTGATTTCTGAACTAATGACTCTTATGAGTCAATTCTTTTTAGTGAATCAAACACATATAATGCAGCCTGATTTCTGAACCAATGACTCTTATGAGTCAATTCTTTTTAGTGAATCAAACACATATAGTGCAGTCTGATTTCTGAACTAATGACTCTTATGAGTCTTTTTTTGTGAATCAAACATGTACAGTGAAGCTAGTGCAGTCTGATTTCGTAACTAATGTTTCTTGAGCCAATTCTTTATTAGTGAGTCAAACACATAAAACACAACCAGTGTTTCACAAGTCCTTGAACGAATAAATTTAATGGGCAGAAAGGGTCCTTTGTCTATGTCAAAGGTGTGATGTGTGAAGTATAGTTCACACAAAAGCCATTTTTAAACCAAGCAGCTTTCTGTTGTTCAGCACTGTGAATTTGCATGGTTACATGGTTAAACCTGTGGTAAAATGGCAAAATCAGTATGGGGAAATCTTTCACCTTTACATGAAATTCCAATAGGGATTGCCATTGAAATTATTAAAAATAATTATAATTAAAAAAAAAAATAATTAAAAGTGGGATGGTGTAAGTTATATCCAAGCTTGTATTTACTTTACCCCCTCCGCATCTGTTTAGCTTGCTGTCCCCTGAAACTCTATAGCTCAGAGTTTCGAATTATGCTAATTAAATGCGTGAGGCCTATCGCATACTCGTAAATGATTAATTGTAGCTAGACAATAGAATCACTGATACCAACTTATGGCAGTGTCTTCTAGTTTTAGCTATCCTGTTCTGTCTGCCTTCATTCCCCAATTGGCCTCTTTTCATTTTCTCTTTTTCTTCTCCTTCATGTAAGCCTATTGTTGAGCATAATTTGCTGCATTGGGTGTTGAACTATTAGTGTGTGGGGCGGCCTTGTTCAGACTTCAATAGGAGGAATTCAAGAAATGTCCTGGAAAGATAGTTAGCCCTGATAAAACGTCACAAGTCGTTTCACTATAGAAATAGACCCACAATGGATGTAGTTGTGTGTGTACATTGTGTGCGTTTTGGACAGCAAGGCCACACTTTGACGAATGAGAGCTGGCTGTTTTGCATTGTGTAACTCAATTGGTGCTTAGCCACAGGAAAATGAGAAGGGTTTTTTTGAATAAAGAAATTGAGGCTGTCAGATATTAATACATGTACGTGTCGTCTTAGCGCTGTGGTGGCGAAAAGCTCAACTGACACTGATTTGTTTATGTTTGCACTGTGACTGTAACAAACAGCATTTCCACTAAAGTTTCAAAGCAAATGTTCTCAGCTTGTTAACACTCAAGGCGAGGGATAGCTGAGCACTTATTCATTCTTATATTGAGTTTATGCTATCGAAACCACTGACCACTGTGGAAAATATATCAGAAACACATGACAAACTGTAATTTCCCAGGTTTTCCAGCCCTTCTTTTGTTCAAATACAACAGTTCATTGAACAGTACATTCATTAGGTATGAAAAGCATGCTGTGTCTTTTCATAAATTCAGTTTTTTTCCCATTATTGGCCCTTTATGTTCTCCTCTGCTTGGCGTTATGTTCTGTGAAGTTGTTAAATTTTCTTGAACTCTTCCATTTGAATCTGTTCCTTCTGACTTAACCAAGCCAAAAAGATAATTATTGAAGTTAAAAGGGGCTATTTATCAAAAAAAAGATGAAAATTCTCTCAGTCTCTCATGTCGTTTCAGTCAATGAATCTCTTTCTTCGATGAAACACAAAAGAAGACCCCCACCACCACCACCACCAAACTGTGAAAGTCAATGGTTTCCAATGATGAGGTGGACATCATTGGAGACTTTTTTTGTGAGGACAAAAACTGTGAAAATATTCTTTATAATACCCTCTCTTGTGTTTCACAGAAGAAGGAAAGGAATTGGAATAACATGAGAATTTTTCTTGGTGGACAATTGAAGTGTGTGTATTGACTAGATACATCAATCTTACATATGTTTTTTTTAAGCTATTAAAATACCGTTGGTGTCTTTCAAACCAGTAAACGAAACACACAAGCATACATGTATCATCTGTCCATTGAAATCCCTTTTTCAGACACTACCATTATGTTAGACTATTACAGAAAATACTATTGTGACAGTTCTCTAGAGCTTCCCTGTGCCTCTCTGAAGTGCAGAGGTAATTTTCCACATAGATTGTATTGCACTTTAATTTGAGTGACATTTGTGTTTCCATCACATCTTCGCTATTTCTGCCATCTTTTTTCAAGAGGGCAGAAGATCTGAAAAACTATCATATTTTAAGAGATCCAATTTAAAAGTCCATCTCTACTAGTTGTTATTTTTTCAAGTACACACATATGCAGGCACACACAAGCTTTGTGATGAATAAATAAAAACGTAGTGACTACCTACAGTATATTATATGTGAGCCTTAAAATAATAAGTTTGTTCTGGTTAAACTCTAAGTTGAACTGATTTAAAAAAAAAAATTAAATAGATTGTTTTTATTGACACTTCTCAGCTCTGAATGAAAAATGAAAATGAATATTTTTATGATAATGAGATTACGGTATGACATTGTTAACTTAATAACATGTGGGAAGAGTGTGCAACAGTCGGGTTCCAGAAGTAAAAATCCATCCTAAATTATCCATGATTCTTTTCCACCAATCAGAGAATCTTGACATGCTAAAAGAACACGTTAGCGTTTATAGTTTTATATTTATTTGTCGTTTTTAATTTGATTGTCATTCGAATTGTTTCATAGCATTCTAGATATGTCCCTTCTTAAAGCTGTTATGGGCTCTGTTGTCATGATTCCTGTCTTGTGTTTCACTTGTCTTGTGTGTACTTTTGTCATTTCCTGTCTTGTGCCAAGTCGTGTAGTCCTATGTAGTTTTTCATGTTGATTAGTCTCCCCCAGGTGTGTCTTGTTTCCTCATTTCCTAGTTAAACTTGTTTGTCCCTGTGTAAATAGCTGTTGTGTTTTACTTGTTACTTTGTCAGTTGTTGTACATGTATGGTTATTTTTTTATTATTATTTGTTCTATGTGTTATTTCATTAAAATCCCTGCTGATAGATCCTCGCCTTCGCCTGCTTTCTCCAGCAACATCACACTATTTTTTTTTATTCAATTTTTCAAATATTTTTTTCTTCAAATCTAAGTTTGCGATGTGGTGATTCACCTCATAGCTGGTTGATTTAGTTCAAGGCTTATAACTCTTTCACAACAGACTTTTTAAAAATCCCTACAGGATACTTCCTATGTAGAGCATTAAATCAGTCATTTCTAAGTCCATTTCGGTTAAGATTATGCCTATGTAGGCAGTAGACAGCAGGGCAGCTCTAGGTTTTTAAACAGAGCCTCTCACTCACACATGCTTTGACCCCCTCCCCATTTCTGGCTCAGTGTGAAGCCCTTTTGTTAGACGTCCAGGCAGTTCAGTCTTGGGTCCCGTGTCTTTGATGACAGTTCTGTGACACACCACTTCGAATGGACCATTAGGGCTGGCTGACACGAATTCTATTGGTGGATGACTTAATTGCTGATCTTAATCTCTGGGGTGATGATAGAGATGCTTTAGAGTCTATTAGAGTGGTCGTTTTGTTCACAAAGTCAATGTAACTAGAAATCTTGCTAGATCGCCACCTCACCTGACTCTTTTCTGCATGTTCTTTTCATAGTGCCGGAGCTCCACTACCATGACGACTGTGGCCAAACCTTTCATCGGGCTCTTCTGGCTACTGCGGTTGGTGTGTGCGGTCTTCCCCGAGGAACCGGGACCTCTGAACTTCATCCCTACTGAAGGTAATGATGTCTCCATTTCACATGCAGTCAGTCAGGATCAGGGTTGGGCCCCGTCTGCGCTGTCAGGCTCTCAGCTTTCACTTTCTTATGCAGAGCAGGCATGTGATTGATCACAGATCGATAATATTGATTCCATGCATCCCAGCTTAACTCATTCAGGTCTATCTAAGGTGAAAGATGAGAAAAGCAAGAAAGATACAAGGAGCTGGGTAGCTCCAGGGAGGGTCTTATCACATACAGGATGAGGGAAACAAACAGGGATGTAAAGTACTCAAGTAATTGTATTTCATTACTATAATGTATTATTTTGAGAAAATCTGGATTTTGCCTGTGAATTTCGGCAAGCAGTGATATGATCGAGAACTTGATGTACCCTCTTTCTCAAAGTCTCTTACCAGTTAAAAGTTTGTTGTTTTATTATTTTTCATGACAATTACAATTTTATTGTACTCTAATATTACATTTATACAACTACATTAAAATATCAAACAACTATAAAATTGTATAGTTTTTTTAATTTAAAATTTAAACATTTCAAGTAACAATTTAAGGTTCCGGGATAATTTCTAAAAGATAAAGGCAGCTGTATATTTTAATGTAAATAATAGCGACATGCTAATAATGTTAATTTTATGTTTGTTTGTTTGTTTGTTTATATTTTTTCTGATTAATTAAAAAAATATATCTCTAATCTTGCCTTGATCCTTTCCTAATTCAAGGAATACTCATTCTTTCAAATAAAACCAGATATTATTAATTGTTTGATTCATTTATTTAAATATGTCAGGTAACCGGTTTCTGGATAAGTATATTTTTTTGGTTAAATTTTACTCCTCTGGTAACAACACTACTTGACTAAGCCGAACATATGAGGACAGAGTTTATCTGTGAAAACCAATGAAGAGCAACCATAGGCAACAGTCAACATTTTTATCTCAAAAGTGACAAGAACGCCTCTCGCCTTAACGGATCACCTCTCCCACACCTATAAGTGCAATGAAAAGAGGATACAACCCTCTGTCAACCCCTTCTCTTTATCATTCACGGTCTCTTCTACCTCGTTTTCCTTTAGTGGTAAGAAGGCATCCTGTGTTTCTCGGACGACCCCATCGCTCATCCCTCAGACAGGAGCCCTTACACATTCAGAGGATTCTGCAGGTCAACCGAACCCTTTATATCGGAGCCAGGTAGGGTGAGAAATAATGCTGATTAGCATGGGCGTACCCTGTAATTATTGTTGCACCGGCATCTGTAATTATCTGTATGGAGATGTGTGTTTAAGTAAATTGTGTGACACTCAAAAATCTCTTTTGAGATCAAGAGTCTGAATTGCTATTGTAATTCAAAGCTATTTAAAGGGATAATTTACTCAAATTAACGTTCTGCCAGCATTTACTTATAGTTTCAAACCTGTATGGCTTTATTTCTTTTGTATAACACAAAAGAAGATTTTTTTTTTTTATTATTCTTGTTATTGTTTTCAACCCCATTGACTTTCAATGCATGGACAAAATATCTTTGTTTTTTTGTGATAATGTCAATTTTTAATTAATTTTATATAATTATTTTACTTTAATTTTATATGGTTTTGTTTTATATTATAAAATATTAACATAATCATATATATATTTTAAAATAGTTGTGTAAGCCTCAGAGAAAAAAAAACATACAGGTTTGGAATGGCATTGTGAACTGTCCCTTTAAGAAGCATGATGTGTTTCTTGTTGTGGTGGCATTGGGTTATAACTTATAAAAGTAAATATTGGACACCTGTAGTGTTTTTAGGATTTTAGGCCAGAGTGGGGCTTTAAAGAGGTCACAAGGTCAATGATGTTTTTGCTTTCTTGCATTTTTTTTTTCTACCTCACAGGAGCCGGGGGTTTGGAATAGATAAACAAAAATAAAACTTCATTAGGTTTGGCGCTTTAGAAAAATAAGCTGTTTTTGTGAATTTTTGCAGCATGCTTCCCAAAAATGGCTGGCACGTCCATTGGGAGAGTTCAAACATATGGTGATAGTTACTGAAATTTGTAGGGGACCTGCAGGGGAGGCGTCGTACTCTAATAAAGTCTCTCATACCGTGTCAGGAAATGACCTGCCTGCTCGACCGTGTCAAAAATTAAACCTCAAAAATAAATATATCACAAAGCGCCATATGACTTAAGATGTCCAGACTCGAAGCTGGCCTATAGAAGCTCAACTCAGAATCGAGCAACTGTTTCGCATACTCTTTCCAATGTGATGCCACTGTGGCCAGCGTAATTCGATGAAATTCAAGCCCCACTGTGTGCAGTCAGTAAACCGTATGTACCTATAAGTGTCTGAAGTAAATGGAGGTGTTTGCCGTAGCCAACAGAAAAGGACCTCTGTGGAAAAGATGATTTATTTAGCCGATGACTCAAGAGGGAGCATTCAATAACAACGGCAACATCGAATGAAATAAAAAGCAGGCAATACTGGATAGAGGAGAGGGAGAGAGTCAGTTATGTTTCAAGTCAAGGATATAGACAGCCTGGACTGACTGAATAAAGTCTGAACGGTGTGCTCAAGTGTGATAAGGGGTGTAGACGGGTTAAATCCTGTTAGCATTAGCATGACCGCTCATGAACGTGCCTCAAGAAAGCGACCAGCCTCTCAGCCCCTTCACAGTATTACTGTGCAACACCTGGTCAGGGATGAGACGACCAAAGTATATTTTTTTTAAACACACTTGGTTTCCTCCAGAAATTTCTCGACTTTAACGCAACTGCGACTGCAATCTAGCCTCAGACTTGGGGGGAAAATTCAGACCAAGCCATAAATAAATACACCTATAAGACAAATGAGGTGTTTCGTTTGTAATCTGTATACATAATTAATGTTCCGAGTAACTAGAGGAGGGCTACTAAAATTGCCAGCGGCGACCTGGTTAAGTCACATTAAATCAAGCCTCAGCCACCTCGTTGTGTTTGACCTCATCGAGAGGTCAAGTCTTTCAATTAAGCTCAGGAGTGAAACTCAACACATTCTACCCTCGAACCTGTCAATAGCGAGGCGGGACAGGTTCCGGCTGACCTCTGAGGTCATTGAAACAGCCTGACTGAGGTACAGCCTCTACTGGTGCAGAGAAATCATGGACTCAGCTGCCGTCCGGGCTGCCGCACAGATGCCGTAGGGCATGGGACGAATGGTGTGAGACCTCCCGTGTCTCCCGTAGCACTGCAATTTACACTTACTCTTTTAGCTGTCTCCTAAATGTTAAATATAATCAGCCCCCCCACCCCTCAAAATCACGTAGGGAAAGCTAAAAAGAGACAGAGGGTAAGAAAATGTACTAGACCACGTAAAATTGCAGTTTTGATCTCTTTAAAACTTGGAAAGATCAGAATTTTTAACAAGTTTATTGCTAGGGTTGTGCAAAATTCAGAATCGAAGAATCGTCTTCCTTGCCATTCATAATTGTTAATTTAAAATGAATTGTCCACATCAGACAGGAAGTCAATTGGAATCCGTTCATCAAAAACCTTTTCAAAACCATTAAACAAGGCTTTAAGCCAACAATCAAAATTTGTCAGGACATTGCTACTTTCTTCAAATTGCAATTCTGTATCCTGTTTGTTTTTCCCCAATCTAGCATTTCAACTCATTCTCATCCCAAGGCGTCATTTACGACACTTTTGCCAAAGCATAGACATCCGACGCACATGGCACCCTTTAGCGTCAAATGAGACGCTTCGGTTATGGTAGGTTTAGGTATGGGTTAGGGTTAGACCACTAGGAGGCGCCTTCTGCCCCATATATATCTGCATCTCATTTGACGCTAAAGGGTGCCATGTGCATTGGATGTCTACACTTCGGCAAAAGCGTTGTATGACGCCTTGGGATGAGAACGGGCTCAGCATTTTTATGTTCACATTTCAATATTTATATGGAGACCCTATTATGTTATCTCCATTGCACACTATGCGAGTTGTTACATGAAATTTTGAAAGAAGATAAAAAGTCAAGTTTGTATATGAGATCAAGAAAGATACAGGGAAAAGAAAAGGGAAAAATGGAGTTCTGTTCTTGCCAATGGTCTGCATGTCTTGTCCAAACCATCTGTGTTTTTCGGGTAACCTTGTGTAACTATAAAGCCTGTTTTTATGTTCACGTAAATGTGACAGTACTGTTGAACTCCAAACCGACCTCCAGCTTTGCTTTACTGCTTGAATTATTGTATCTGCTCAAAGTTTGTGCTCTCTAAATAAGGCAAGCACTGTGTAAGTGTATGATAATTTTAACCAGGGCACTTAGGGGCCGCCCTGCTCAAAGAGGGAATGGCCAAGGGGATTCATTTTAACAAACCACACAGAGGGATTGAATAATTTATAGTCCATCTCATCAGACTCTCTTCAAGAACACACAAACACACACACACATACATAGTCTACATTTTTGTTGTTGTTGATGTGTCCACAGAGCAGTGATGCAGATGGAAGTCTGTAAAAGATAAGATCAATACTACTGCAAGAACATGGGCTGGTCTGTGAGCTTGGCAAATTTACAGATTACAACATTTCAGAAGGAAAAGAGAGATAGAGAGAGATATATTCTCATGATTTGAAATTCTCCAGTGCTCTCTCATCGGGCCGCACGGCAGCTCTTAGTCCTTGGATCAATATTCAGGCACAAACTAGGATACTCTATAACACCAAACACGCAATGATTAAAAGAGATCAGATTCATAGAGACTTTAATAGACGCCACAAGTTTATAGAAAGATTATTAAAAGTAGTCGCAGGAAGTGTTAAAGCACTGGATGCTGTGTTCAAGATAAGAAGCTGCATGCAACATGCATGCAGTGTGGGGGTGGGTTATGAATTATGGAGGGGAAATCAGGCATATCATAATCCAAAGAATCGTGATTATGTAGGACGGGCTGTGGTGAATTGTTTAACTGAGTGCTTGCACTGAGACGGCAGATCTGGGTGAATTTATGTAGGAAGAAGAATGTGATATCAATTTGTTAAACATTTGAAGAGTACACATTATGCTTCAATGTGTGAGGTTGACGACTTTCAGATTTCAGATATTTGTTCACTGAAAAAAAAAATATGTTTGATCTTAATTCTGACATTTCTGATTAAGGAAAGGATTGTTCTCCAGTGTTGTGTTACTGCTATGTTGTGGTTCACAGTCTCTCGCTCTTTCTCTCTCACTGTGCTTGTGTCAGAGATGACCTTTTCCGAGTGGAGCTGGACAACGTGGTGGGAGAGGAGATGTTTTACAGCAAGGTGAGAGCAGAAATGCACACACACATATAAACATGCTATGTTTATGATGGAAATGAACAGTCACTCATTATTGACGTTCCCTCTGTTACAGAAGAGGACATGGGAATCCAACAAAAATGACATCAGAATCTGTAGAATGAAGGGAAAACATGAGGTGAGTGGATATTCTCACACATTTATTTATTTCAATTTATATATTTGTATAAATGCGTGTACACACACAGAGAGAGACACACGCGTTTTATACTGTACAAACTCTATATTCTATCCCCTAACCTACACAGAAACTCCCATTCCACCACATCCCAAAGATGCTCTTTTGGGTTGAGATTTAAAGACTAGGGCCATTTTAGTACAGTGAACTCGTTGTCATGTTCAAGAAACCAATTTGAATTGATTCGAGGTTTGTGGCATGGTGCATTATCTTGCTGGAAGTAGCCATCAGAGGATGGGTACATGGTGACCATAATGGGATGGACATGGTCAGAAACAATGCTCAGGTAGGCTGTGGCATTTAAACGATACCCAATTGGCACTATGAGGCCTAAATTGTGCCAATAAAACATCCGCCACACCATTACACCACCACCACCACCCTGCACAGTGGTAACAAGGAATGATAGATCCATGTTCTCATTTAGTTTATGCCAAATTCTGACTCTACCATCTGAATGTCTTAACAGAAATCGAGACTCATCAGACCAGGCAACATTTTTCCAGTCTTCAACTGTCCAATTTTGGTGAACTCTTGCAAATTGTAGCCTCTTTTTCCTATTTGTAGTGGAGATGAGTGGTACCCAGTGGGGTCTTCTGCTGTTGTAGCCCATCCACCTCAAGGTTTTGCGTGTTGTGGCTTTTCATTACATGCTTATTGAGTTATTCATTGTAGAACCAACATTGGCTGGTCCCTGCAATGTAGGCAAAACCTGACCCATACAAACACACACTTACAACAAAACTGTGTAACAACACACAATTATTCATGTTAAATGCTCGTATCTGTGCGAGTCACATTGTTTGTGCCCCTGCTCACACTCTAAGGTGCCATCACAAGAGCTGCCTGTGGCAAATTTTTAGGAAATCAGTTGTTTTTCCTGTGCTGTCTGCAAAATAGAGAGGGTGTCAAAAGCTGCCAGCGGTCCCCACAGCTGCCCACGCATGACCACTGCAGATATCTTCCTTTCACACACCTTTTCTGCTTGGTCTCCTGGAATGCTGGGTATTTTGTCTGACTTCAATGAGAATGAAAGGTGTCTGTGTGGGAAGATGACTTAATCCCCTCCAGGTGAGAAAAGAGAGAAAAAGAGATAAAATGACTTATTTAACACTGAAAATGACACCTGACATTGAATCTGGGTGACAGAGCATAAGACAATAGTACAACAGAGAGCAAGTGAGATGAGACATGCAAAGGAACAGAGAGAGAAAGCGAGCAACTCCCCCACCTGTCTGCCCTAGGGATGGATGGAAAAACTGAGAGATAGACCAACATAGATGAGGAGTGAGAGAGTGAGAGTGAGACCCATTGACGATCATTGAATCAGTGAGATTGTGGGGCTGACGTTTCATGATCAAATCAGTCCAGTTTGCAAACAAATCAAACTTGGTTGTGATTGAATATTGGTATAAAACAAGCAAATTGATTTGATTCTGAAGTTCAAATAATGATTTGATCACAGCAGTTCTTGAATGAATCGTTCACTGAAGGGGCAAATGAACAGTGAATAACTTCATTTAAACTCAAATTTTGGTGTGTTTGTCACAAAAAGCTAACAAATTTCTTCAGACTTGGAAAATAGTGCCTGAGTAATATACAGTAGGTTTTTTTGCAATTATTTTCTGTGAAGATTCTAAAAGAAAATTCTCATAGATGGTTCGTATAATGACATTTGGAATGAGTAAATCATGACAATTCAGGGGTGTGAACTTCTCCTTTAAAAAGTGAGCTGGCTATAAGATAAAGGAGAGGGATTAAGGGCAAGAGAAAGAGGGACTGTTGGGAGGGGAAGAAGAGAGGAAGAGAATTGCCCTCTTAGAGTTATTAAGTCTCTAAACATGAGAGGTCATGCAGAGATGAACGAGACACGACAAGCTCTTAAACAGAGCCCAAGATCTCACGCTGAGTGGACACTGATACACACACACAGGTCTACACACTCACTGTACAGCCATACACAGTGTCCTCTAGTTCTCATGTGCGAGACCTTGCATTTTTCATTGTGATACATTTGCCACTGGGGTAATTGGTTTTGGTAATTAAATGTTTCTGCACGGCTGATCTAAGAGACCACACGCTGTAATTGGGAGGGAAATTCAATCTCCCCATCTCTGCCCCTTTCATCTGGATCTGCAGGAGGCCATTTTGAATCTCAAATGAATGCAGATGCAGTCTCTTCTCTCACTGCAAGTGTCAAAAGCAACTACAGTATGTTCTCTCTCTCTGTCTCACACACACACACACACACTCTGACTCAGGAGCTGGTTTAATGCAAGCAGCTGGGGTGCAGCCAGTGCTTGCAGAAAAAAAATTCTATGCCAGTTCTAGACACATTGTGATTGACAACACTTAGTCAGATTGTTTTACGGATAATGTGCTGATGCTGCTCATTGCACTTCCAATTATACACACCTGCATGGATGTGCTGAATATTAAAGATCCACTCTGAATCCGAATTGAAAATCTACAAAGAACCCAAGTGAAACACTTTAACTCTGTACAGTCTTTGTTTGTATGTGTAACATAATCACTCAGAATCCGATTTCTGAATCCAAATGATCCAAACTGAATTTGAATTCTGAATCTGAAAATTAGTGAACAATTCGAAACGTAATATAAATTCTGGATCTAAAAAACATCTGAATTGTAAATCTGAAAGAAGCACTCTGAATCTGGATTCTGAATCCAAAGGATCCAAACTGAATAGGAATTCTGAATTTAAAAAATAGATAGACTGTATATAGGAGTGAACAGTTAATGTAATACCAGTTCTGAATCTGAATTGTAAATCTAAAAGAACCCAAATGAATCTGAGTGAATTGTTTTGAATCTAAATTATTTCTTCATTTAAATTCAAGTTGCATTTGAATATTCTCAATATAAATGAGCCACTGCTCTCAATGTTGATGTTAGCCCATGGTGTGTTCACCAGCCATCAGCATCAAAGTGTGTGAGGGGGCGTGGATTAGCCCCAGAGCAAAAACACAAACACACACAATCCCTCTCTCACATACACAAAACTCCAATCATTTTTCTCCTCACTTTTTGTCCATCTCTTTCTTTCTTAGTCAATCTTTTTTATAGCTAACATACACATCCTACACAACCACAAACACAACACCCCACTCTGTGTTCCCTGGCAGATTTGCACTAATTTAGCCCCTGCTGTTAACGTGGTCACAGTCTGACCGAAGCTGCTGTCACTGCAATTACAGAAAGAATTCTAGAATGACAATATTGCCATGGGAAAGAGGGAGATTGACAGGGGAAAAAGAGGTCTCTGACAACTTTCTTGTGCTCTTTCCTACAGTATTCCCTCTTCTATCATGGTTTGAGATTCAGACTCAGCTGAGCATATAATGGAAACTTCTGAGAGTTGGCTTTGCTTATTGTAAATATGACCCTTTTATTATGAGGAACAGTGTCTAAAGTGGTTAAGTGGACTCCCGTGAGAGATAAGTTATGCTCGTAGTTGATAATTACAGTATGTGCAGAATTGTGCAGTATCCACCCAGCCAATCGACGTTCACGGTGAAAGTGATTTCCAGCCATCATTTGTGATGCTCCAAATGGAGCATTGAGCAAAAACAAATGAGCTTTATTCGCAAAAATAGAAATAAAGCGATCGACAATGTTATGTTGTTCATTGCTTGTTACAGTTGACAGTTTTGTTATTAACTAAAACTAATAACAACATTTCCATTCATTGAAATAAAGATGAAATAAAACATTTGAATTAAAATAAATCAAATTGACAAAAGCACATAAAATTATTAAAACTTGAAACTGAAAGCTGATTCGAAATATTAATGAATACTATAATTAGGGGTGTCGCGATTCTCCTAATCCTCGATTCGATTACGTTTTCGATTCTAAGGTCACGGTTCGATTCCATTCTCGATTTTTACATTTATTTGCTTTTAAAGATGAAACCGGCCAATCAGGATGCTCTCTGTCTTAAAGGGGGTCGCACACCAGGCTAGAAGCGCAGCGCAGCGCCATGTCTTTAAAATTCGAACACATTATTCTCTATGAGTGTACACACACCGGCGGTGCCATTCGGCGTCTGTCCGCAGCGCCCAGCTACGACTCAGGACCTTGTTCAAAACCATGCCACGCCACAGAGCGTCATCTTCATAGCTTTATATTAAATTTACATTTATTTTTTCTGGAATTTCGATCGATTTCGATCTAAAATCGAAATCGTGACACCCTTAACTATAATAGTAGTCTTATATTAAAATGAATCTAGCAGTTGAAAATATTTTTAAGCTTTTATCAGCTGTTGAAATCTTTAATCTCATACTGACGTCATGCTTTGGACACATTATGAGGCCCTGTCAGTCTGTGGATGGTTTATGATAGTATTGTGGGACTGCATTTTGAAAGAATGTGTTTAGATGAAAAGATATCAGGAATGTAGGGAGTACTTTGCGCAGATGTGTGGTATGTCATGTCTAGAGACTCAACAGAGGAAGAGAAAGAGGAGGAATTCACTTGTTCGGTTTCACCTCAGCATCTGTTAGAGAGAAAAAAACATCTGCCAGAAAGACAACGCCCTTTTACTAAAACTGTCTCACACACAAGCTTGAGTGGTAAACTTATCTTGGACCCGGTATAAATAATTTAGTACTTGACACCAACAGTGATAATTTGCAGGGGATAGTCAAGGTCCTGTAAGCTGAAGAAATATGGCAGGGTGAAGTCAAAGAGAGAAGACTTTTTTAATTTATCTTATTTCTTATAAAACAGACGTGACTTGAGATTCAGAGAATCTCAGAGAATTGAGTCAGAGAGGTTAAGACAGAGACACTGTGACACAGAAGTTCATAGAAATACTAAAAACCGTTCAGACCTCATTCTACTTTTTTCCACTTTAGCAGAAAAGGATAAATGTATTACTGGGTGAGGGCATGCAGGAATGCATTTGTGTTTTTTGTTTGTTTGTTTTTTTGAGCTACACAACCTTATAAGCCACATTAAGACCATGTTTAAGAGCAATTTAAATAAATAACCTTGTTTTTATTTACATAATAATAAAAATAATATTTTTATATAATATTATTTTTATAATAATTTTTAAATTATTTTTTAATTTTTAATTTACTTCATACTGTATGTTGAACATGGTTATTTTCTTACCATTGTCTATACATATATATATATATAAATTACATGTTTTTTTTAGTACTATTCTTTCTACTTTTTTCTGTCTCTGCTTGTGTGTGTGCATACGTGCGTGTGTGCGCTTTGGCTACAATCTTGACAATAAATTACTGAAAATTGGAAAAGCAGAGACAAGAACAGTCTGTAAGAGAAATGCTGCAGGAGTGGAAAGGGTTATAGACGGACACAGAGGAAGGATAAAGGGATAATTGGACTGGTAGCAGGAGAGGAAAAATAAAGGGACGAGGAAAGTGCTATTGTGCTATAACACTGAGCAGAGGACATCCAGCACTAGAGAGAGAACCCCCTTAATGGACTAATGAATAGTGTGTAAATGAATCAAGCCTCTTTGAAAATATGAAACGAGGGGATGAAATTGGAAAGACCAGGTGATGTTGATTGAAGAGCTGGAGGAGGACGAGAGGGCCGTTGTTATTTATCCGCGGTATGTGCTTTATCGCTTAGAAGACCAGGAGCTGTGCCAAGTGTTTGGACTCTTGGAGGAGTTTGGCGAATCGGTTTTATGAGTAGAGTTATAAGGTCTTGGTGCATTGGTCCTACAGAGACTTAAACACCCAAACACAAGATACATCTGCATCACAACACCCACACCACCTACACACAATGCCAATACGATAAAAAAAAAGCATCTGTCTTACAGGAACACTAATAACAGGCCATGCACACTCATAGCAATGAATTGTGGGCTGACATTTATGTGATTTAATGTGCCGTTATCGGTTATACTGTTAGTTCATGATCTATCGCCAACAATTGTAGGCATTTCTGTTTTGCTCTCACCTCGCACTGATTCTCATCCTTTATTGGCATGACAATTGGTATTCATAAAGCAATATGATAATTAAAATAAATGAAGAAACAAAATAATAGCGCAAATAAAGTAAACAATTTGTACAGCTTCAATTACTTTTTTTAATACATTAACAAATAAAACCCTTCCATTGCTCAAGGATGCTTAAAGTAGATACAATGAGAAAGGTAACAGGAATAGGGTAGGTAATAGGCTTCATGCCAAGCGTCATGTGACCAAACCCGAAAACGGGTCTCATCGCATCCGCTTGTCAGAGAAAGTGTTAACGGCCGTAAGAACTGACTATGATATCTATGGATTTTTAAGGTAATCAGCTAACCTACCTAGTTCACTACCTAGACGTTTTATTCCATTTAAATATCTAAACGTTACTGTGAATTAGAAAAAATACAAAAGTTTAAATATCAATCTGCACATGTGAGGGACATTTGGTTCCAGAAAGTTGGAGTTGAGCTGAAAATATTTTATTAAATAATTTAGGTAATTAAATAAATTAAATATTTTTTGATAATAATGATTTCATGGACTATTTCTCTCTCTCATTTCTCCACAAACAAAAACCCCGTGAGGACCCGAGCATCTGGAATAACACTCACTCCCACTTCTCCCCCTCCGGCTGCTTCCACACGTCCTCACTCTCTTCTCTCTTCATTCGATAACAGATTGCTGTGATCGTGAGGTCCCGTTGCCCACAGGTTGCTGCCCATCAAATGGTGCCACACTGGCGGGCACACGCGGGGTACACCGGTGGGGGGTGGCACGTGGGGTAGCATAACATAATCCATCTCTATTTCACATCTCTTAAAACCCTTCACAGGTGCAGGGCTCAAACATGTGCGTTCAATTGAACCGAGGTTTAACCGAATGACTCACTGTGGCGTGCCTCTGGTTTGCCAAGAGAATTGTTTGTACAGATGCAAACAATCCTTGGAATAAAATTGAAAGTGCTGAGAAATGTGATGTCATTCTGAGGGGGAATTTGTTCAAGAGAGCATGATTTAGGAGACAAATGACTTTCTTCTTCTATATTTTAGGATGAGTGCCGTAACTACATGAAGGTTCTCCTCAGTCGGCAGGGTGGATTGTTTATCTGCGGGACCAACGCCTTCAATCCCTTATGTGCCAATTATACAGTGAGTACTGCATACTTGAAACACACTTGCACAAAAATGTATTGTTTCAGAACCTCACCACACCCTCTGTGCTTTCATTACCCCAAAGCTTTGTCAATGTTTTTGGGGTCTGTATTTTTCTCATTACATTTTTTTATTCTCTGCAGCCCATTACATTCCTCACGTATTTTATTTTGTTCTCCCTAACTATTTTTTTTTTTGCTTCAAAACTTCACAGTGCATTTCAGAGCACTGCTTGCAGCATCATTTCAACCGACTGGCTTCATTGGGTTACTATGCATTTTTGACCCGGATGGGAATCACTTCACAAAAAAGAATCTCCCCTGCCGTTTGTTTATACTCTGTTTTTCCACCTGCCTGACCGTCAATATGGCCAGAAGCAGCAAGCTGTTTCTGATGACCTCAAGAGCGGAGAGCTGTCATTAATCAGTCTAGATGCGGTTTTCTGTGCGTGGTTGTTTATTCGAAAAGAATGGTAATGCCACTTAAAGGGCACGTTGTTTGAATCCAAGACTCTGTGTGTGTGTGTGCGTCCATGCGTGTGTGTTGGTTGCCTTCCATCCATCTGGTCAGTGACTCTATCGCCCCCAGCGTACGTGAGTCACATTAATGGAGGGTCTGGTCCAGCTGACGCATCAACTAGAAACATAAATGCTGCACCTGACTTCTGAACCAGTCACACTAATAACATACAACCTGCTGAATAATGAAGGAAAACTATATTTGCTAATCATTCACTCTGCCGGATTCTAGCCTGGAATAATATAATATAATATAATATAATATAATATAATATAATATAATATAATATAATATAATATAATATAATATAATATAATATAATATAATATAATAATGACATTTTTTATGTGTGTTCGGGGTCAGTAAGAATCTTTTGTAAGAATGTTACAGAAGATTTCTGTTTTAAATAAATGCTCTTCTTTAAACATTTTAAAGGATTTTATATTTTACCAATTTTATAAATTTACTCATTTAATTCAATTAAGTAATTTCTCTGGTTAGTAGCAATTTGAGAAACTGCTTCAAGAGCAAAATTGCAGACACCCCGATGTAAAGTAATTCACTTTAAAAAAAACAACTTTTGCTGATAATTTACTCACCTCCATGTCATCCAAGATATCCATGTCATTCTTTCTTCAGTCGAAAAGAAATTAAGGTTTTTGATGAAAACATTCCAGGATTTTTCTCCATATAATGGACTTCAATGGGAACCAAACGGTTCAAGGTCCAAAAGACAGTTTCAGTGCAAATTGCAAACTGTTCAAAGGGCTTTAAACAATTTCAGACGATGAATAAGGGTCTTATCAAGCGAAATGATTGCTCATTAAAAAAAAAAAAAAAAGTTTAAGTTTTATAAGCTCAAATGGTCACCTTGCTCTGTTCTGTGATGTGCGTTCGTGACTCTCCTGTTCGAACTCGTTTATCAAAATGAACGAATCTTTTTTTGTGTCATTTGGTTCATTCACTGAACGAAATGAATGAGTTGACTCAGGAAAAGATTAGTTCATTTTGAAGGAGTGAACTACTCCTTTAAGAACCACCTGCCGCTATTTCCATCAAGGGATTGAGAAAGATAGAAGTTTGTGTATGCAGTTCTCAAAAACATGAAGAAACTCTGTCTGTCGGGTCTGAAACACGCTGTCGCAGATCTGAGTAAAAGAATTATCGCACACCTGTAATGCAACATTACGCCTGACAAGAGTTTTAAAAGGCTCTCTAGAGACAAACATGTATGATAGAGATGGAGAGAGAGAAAGAGAGTGCACAGGTTTATTTATAGTTAGTTGTAATGTAATGGCCTGAGAGTAATTTTCAGCTTGAACTGTTATTGTGCTATAAATCGCCTGTGGATGTTTCTGAAATTACATTTTATGCATATGTTTTAACTCTGCTTGTGTTATTCCTACACTTGATACTATTTCTCTCTTTCTGCTTTTGTATTAGCGAACTCTATATTTTGGAAGATAACATTTATTTTGTTAGTGTTAGTTATTCACTTTCTGCACATTGGGCATTTTTGTCTCTTCTTAATGAGTGTGTTTTGCATGTGTGTGTATGCAGGGAGACACTCTTGAGATGGTGGGTGAAACCGTCAGTGGGATGGCTAGATGCCCATATGACCCGAAACATGCCAACGTGGCTCTGTTTGCAGGTGAGACTCTGCTAGCATATTCTGTTGTTTTCTTTAACACCGTGAACATGACTGCATATTAAAGGAATATATATAGATAGAAATACAGCAGCCCGGTAATGCTGTTATTCTTTAACTTAATTACATGTCGGCCTATGAACAATATTTATGTGTATCTCTCAATGTAATCATGCACATATGCTGTCCAGCACATTCCCTGCACGACATTATGGCTTTACTGCTTCCTGCCTGGATGAACCTAAAGGAAATTACATTTTTTTTTAAAGTATATGAAGATGCATTACTCTGACAAAAGTATATTGAGAGCATATTTTTAGTCTGTAAGGCAGTGCTGATCCATTAGAGAAGGCAAGGAAGCTAAACAACTAAGAATATCTGTTGTTTTATCAATTTATGTGCATAACTCAGATGCATGAAACATGTATTCTGATGCACAAAGGGGATATGTTAGATGGAAAAGGGGGAAGGTATATATTATATCATATTAAATTACTTTTTATTATATATATTAGTTTTAGAGAGGTTATATATGTTATTATTAGATTATATTTTATATAATATTTCTACATACAGTATATTTTATGGAGTTTGTGTGCTGTTTTTGCAGAGGGGAATCTCTACACTGCGACAGTGACTGATTTTCTGGCCATTGATGCCGTGATCTACAGGAGTCTGGGGGACAATCCCGCCCTGCGCACGGTGAAACACGACTCCAAATGGTTTAGAGGTAATGAAGACATCAGACGTTAGTTGACGGGAAGGGGAAGCCGTGCAGACTAGAGTCAGCACATGGATGTAATGTTAATGCTGTTTGTGAATGTATAATGTATGTGAGAGACAGTTAAGTGTATTAATGCATGTGTCATGTCTGATGTTAAAAAGCTTTTTTTCACCCAAAACCTAAATAGGCAACTGCCTGCTAAGACAGCCTGCTAACTATCTTGAAATGGTCACAAGTGACCATTTTATATATGTAAATAGGCTATATTAGGGCTGTCAAAAATAACATGCTAATTTTTCTTGTTGTGTTAAAATGTTAAAAACGTTTAACGGAATAAATGCAGCATAGTATATGATTAAAGTTTGTAATTATGCTATCTGGGTTCCGCAAGATCTCAAGAGAACACAGTTAGTTTACTGGCACACTGTCTGAGAAGCATTAGCCTACTATGTGAACACGCACCTGAAACATACACACAGAAAGCTGCTTCTCAGACAATGTGATTGTACAGATTTGAGGTTATTGTTTACGTCTTAAAGTGTTTGAATGGACAAAAACACACAAAATCATGACAAAATACTTCAAAATACACTTTTCACACACTCTCACACATCCATTTTCTAACGCAGAGAAAAATCGCGAAACAAAAAGGACACTGACAGCGACAGACTAGACAGAGCAGGTTTGATATTAAACAAATCATCAGCTCTCAGATTCTGTACATTTTATTACGAAGTTCAAACAATAGCGTGTTGGCGCTTATAAATTTGACGTGACGGATCGTGGTCGTGAACCGAACATCTCTTACTCTCCTTATTAGTTAATAGTAAACACGAATGAACAATAGTTGGGTTGAAAGATAACAGTTACAGTTCAATTTACCGAAATTTATATGCCAGCCTCATGCGTAATCGAGCAATCAGTGTTTTCCACCGCGGAATCAATAAAACAGCTGGAGAACAATATAGGCTTAGGCTAGGCTATGTCACATAACGTTATATTTACCTCAGGAAATGTATGTAGAATCTCTAGCTTGAGCTGTACAGTACATTGTATGCATATCATTGATTTAATAATATAATTGAATATAAAATATCAATACAAACAGATCAGTGATATATTAAATTAGATTCATATTTCAAAACTATGAATTGGATTTACGTTTGAGATTGTTACAATTGCGTTCTGGGGTAGACATCTCATTAGGTTTTGGAGTGGAGCATTAATGTCAGGGTCGATAAGGCTGTCCAAGAATCCACATCTGAGTCAGCAGTGTCAAAATCCACCCCTTCTTCCCATCTTCCTTTTCTCCTATGGTCTGCACATCTGTGTCCTGACTCAAACTCCCTCCTGCTGTCCTGGGTCACTTCCTGTCCCAAAACGCCCTCACTTTCCTTCTTTTGGTTTGTGTGTCCGTTGACGAGCTAATGGCCCTATTGGAAAGCAGCCTGTAGTTCAACACTGTAGCTCTGTCAGATCAGCTTTTCTGAAAATGATGTGATCTGATAGAGCAGTTAAGTGTCCTAAACAGGAAACACTAATGGTTTGGTCCTGGTCCGTTTGTTTCAGAGCCGTACTTTGTGAATGCTGTGGAATGGGGGCCGCATGTCTACTTCTTTTTCAGAGAGATGGCCATGGAGTTCAACTATCTGGAGAAGGTGAGAGGATGGTAGAGCAAAAATCTCATTATTCTCAAGTTTCATAATGAGAAAAAGTCCCAAATGTTCTCACATGCGTTTCTTCTAGAGTTTCATAAGACATCCAAAGAGTGCCAGTCTGCACTCAGAAGGCATATATTTCAATTCACTTGTAAAATTCAAAGTGATTTATTGGCATTTATGGTTCTATGAAAAACCTTTACCATCCATTTGACTTTTTCATTGCACAAAAGTTTATTTATAGTGTAAAATGGGTTCTTTAGATTGAAATATTCTTCTCTCCAAGAAAAAAACTGTTAACTTAGAGGTCCTTTGGGTAACCCAAAATGGTTCTTCTATGGCATCATGGCAAAAACCACCATTTGGAACCTCTGTTTCTTGGGAGAATTTATACTCGCTTGAAAATAGATACATGACACCAAGATCATGGTTTCAATTCCTTGGGAAATGATCAAATGTACATTGAATGCAATGTAAGTTAGTTTTGATGAAACATCTGCCAAATGCATAAATATAAACATAAAATTGGGGTGCAAAAGAGAAAATTGGAGTTAAACCTTCCTGTGGGATCGGTGGAGAAAGATCTGGGAAAAAATAGTGGGAGTAATCTGAAATTGTGTTACCGTATGTCCAGTCTGGCAATATTATTCAAATGTCAATACTAACTACTGTATTTCCTGTCAGACTGCAGTATGACCTTTTCCCTGTTTTTGTGCTGAACGTTTAATTTAATAATCATGCCCTATAAAGCTGTTTTGAGTGTAATTTAAGCACACAGAAGTTTTTTTTTTTTCTTTCTGTTGTTGTTTTTCAGGGCAACTGAAATTCCATCCGTAATATCATTTACTGAAAACTGAGAAAAACACATCAAAATGCGAACAAGGGTTCCTATTATGTGAGAATTAGCAATGCAAGACTTCTTCAAGAACAGAATTGTGCTTGTGCAAGCATTTTATACTGCTGGACCTCAAGGAGAACAGAAACCCACTGTACTTTGGATTCAGCTCTTTTGAAATCACTTGCCGAAACCATTTTAGGGAATGCTGACATTTTCATGAATGAATTTATATTAGCTTATCCATTTTACACAGACTAGCTACTCTCCAAAATCTGCTTAAAATCCACAAGGATTAAAAGATTTAGGGCTTTTTGGAGAGATACGGTACTGTTTGATGTGCGTACTATCAACTGCTTAAAATTCATAATTAACATGCAAGTTTAAAAATGTAATTTTCTGTGACCTTAGGTGGTTGTGTCTCGCGTAGCACGCGTGTGCAAAGCCGATCAGGGCGGTTCGCAGCGCGTGCTCGAAAAGCAATGGACGTCCTTCCTGAAAGCTCGGCTTAACTGCTCAATACCAGGAGACTCGCACTTCTACTTCAACCTCCTGCATTCCACCAGTCCTATCATCCGCATGCATGGCAGGGATATCATCCTCGCTGTCTTCTCTACACCCTCCAACAGGTGGGTCACAGCCTTTACATGCAAACACTGACGAAACCGTTCCTCGGAAGCAGTCAAGAAACGAGAAAAGAACCACCCACGATGCATATTGCGCACAAAAATGAAAAAAACAAAAAAACTGTCTGAAAATCACTAGCTTCTCTCTGATTGGCTGGCGTCCAATTTCCAGGAGTCAGGGTGCACTGGTTTTTTATCAGTCTGCTACTGAGAAAAGTTGTATTTGTAAGTTTCTAGGCTTTTTTGTAGAAGAATTTGTCTCAGGATTTGCCAAAGTTTGCTAGGAATCCATCTTTGAAAGATTATTTTGGAAACTCTTGATAGCAAACACTGTAAACAAGATATACGAGCATACCAACTCTACCGTTCATAAGTTTAGGGTCAATAATTTAAAAAAAAATTTATTCATAAAGGATGCATTCAATTGATCATTAAGTGACGGTAATTACGTTTTCCTTGTTACAAATAAATCAGTTTTAAGTAAATGCAGTTCTTTTGAACTTTACATTCATTCAAGAATCCTGAAAAAACAAATGTATCAATTGTTTCGACAAAAATATTAAACGGTTTTTAACATTGATTATAGGAAATGTTACTATAGCACCATTTTAGATGATTTTTTTAAAGGATCACAGTAATCACTGCTAAAAATGCAGTCTGCAACTTTGCATCACAGGACAAAATTACAATTTAAAGTGTATTCAAGAAGAAAACGATTATTTAAAAAAAACTGACATATTGAATAGAATGGGTGACCTCTTTCTGATAAAGTGGGGGCAGCACTTGGATTGAATAAGCTCCAATATAGACCTTCACATTAAAAATGTGGCTGAAGAAGACTAAGAACCACCTGATTCCAACCAGACTCTCAAGAGATAACCTCCCAAATATAGTGCATTAGCAGCCTCATTGATAGACAGTTGAGCTGGAAATATCACAGGCTGGTGGCAACAGCAGAGCACTGGGAAACGGGTACAATCGCTCTGGGTTTAGGTCGTCCTGTGGGATTGTGGGTGAAAAACCACTGAATATAGAACACTGGTGCCACACTGCAGGGAATATTATTGCAGGTTTTAATGGCGTGTAGAGAGGCTCTGTGACAGAGCGGGAAGGGGAAGAGGTAGATATTGATGTATGAATGAGGAATGGAATTGATGTGGGGAGATGTACACATGCTGACAGGCTGTCACCAGGATGTCACACTTAGAGAGGAAAGCAACAACAAAACATATATTTTGGGGATCAGGGAGCAAGTGCATGTTTTGACAGAGTTTTCTGGAAATAATTACAGGAAAGAATGTGAGAACATGAAAAGAGGGAGGGCTGTCAGAAGAGATGGGAGTGAAGATGACGAAAGAGTCATTCCTACGAGAGGAAAATTTGAAATTTAAAACAAAAATGGTTTTTATTTAACCTTTATTTAGCCAGGAAGTCCCTTGAGACTGAAATCTCATTTCCGAGGGAGACCTGACCAAGACGACACAACAGTTACTATTTAAATACAAACACAACAAGCATCACACTTGAAAGAAAAGAACAGGTCACATTTTTTAGTTATATGGCATTTTAACATGGCCTTAATTCATTTAATGGGACTAGATCTTTTAGATGTAACATTAATGAAGAGAAGAGAAAATTGAGAGAAAATGGTTCATGTATGCTCTTTTTTACCAGTGTGTGATAAAGGTATGAGTGACTGCTGTGCTTTAAGGGACAGTGAGTTCACCCAAAATTGATTTGACCAGTAAATGCTAGCCTGGGAAAACCCAGACAACTTCCGGCAAATTTAGATTTGCTCTGAAAGTTAGTCTGGCAAAGAGCTCATTCAAGACCATTTCCAATCTGTCGAAATCAAGGCACCAATCAGAAACGTTGGGGCGGGCTTTACACGATGACGACAGCGCTGGGATTTTGAAGCAGATTTTGTAGCCTACATTACAAAGATTGATGCTGCCGCCGAACATCATTCGTTTGAATCAGTTATCACGTCTGTTTTACTTGATTTGAACGTTTCCTTTTTGTTAAAGACCGAGCATCTCCTTCATCGCTCTGATTGGTTTAAGGTCTATGACGCTTTGCCAGACCATAAATCAGTTACAACTGAGAATGGTCTGGTTTTAACCAGGCTAAGTAAATGCAGTAAAACCGGTAATTTTGTGACATTTTCACGTTTAAAATAACTATTTTTACTTTACTTTAATTTAAAATGTAATTTATTCCTGGATGGCAAAGCTGAATTTTCAGCATCTACATGATCCTTTAGAAATGACTGTTGAAAACAGGTGTGCTTCTTTTTAATGTTTTTGTTTTTAAGAATTATCTGATTGATTGAAGTAAAAAAAAACTGCATCTGTTTTAAATTTTGCAACAGATGTCTTTACTTTTGGCTTTCATCAAATTAAATCATCCTTCCTGATTAGTATTCATTTAATTCAAAAACAAAATCACCAAAAACTTTTGAATATGTAGACTAAATCAATGAAAAAAAGTCAAATAAAATGTTTAAAAAAATTGTTTTAATGCTACACGTGAATTTAGCAATCACAGTATTATATTGTACAGTATATTCCTATTGAGATTTACTATTAATATTACATTTAACAGTTTTATTGAACCATTAATGTTTTTAAATATTTACTTAAGCATTAGATGAATGCAAAGGTCATGATGTAATGTAATGATGTATAATGATTTTTGTTTTTTTATTTGAAAGTGAAATATGACTAAGTCAAATTTCAGACTCTACTGTACATCAGTTGAAAATTAATTTAATATTTTGTTGAACTATGTCCTCAGTGTGTGTAAGAGCGTGCGCGATTTGTAATATTTTTATGAGACCTGTGTGCGTGCGACAAATGAAGAGCAACGAGCACCCTCTAAATGATGGAGGAAGAGCAGGTCTCCCAGCATGCAAATGTGTTTTTTTATGTCAGAGCATGGGCCAAAACTCAGCAAATGCCAAGTCTAATAACGTCTCAGCCTGCTAATGGCTGCTCTGGGGGGTTAGATGGGAAAAGATAAAGATGAAGGATGAGTGTGTGTGTGTTTGTGTGGGGTGGGGGTGGGGGGTGGATACTCAAGGACGAATGAATAAGGCGGTCAATAATAGCCCACGTGTTCCCCCTCCTCTCCTTCACAAGAGTTAAAAACGGTTTTATCATCAGCCAGGGTTCCTCTCCTCCCCTCTTATCCTGAGGGTACGGATCCAGGGCGGGCTCAGTAAGAGATGGAGCACCGAGGTGCAGTGGCAGGGAGCGTCCAGCTGTACAAGCATTCCTGTCTGCAGCTGCAGTCCTCTATAAACAGCGCAGGGGGCTTCGATAGCCTGCCGGGAGGATGTGTGGTCTGTTAAAGAGCTCTCAGACAAATTGCCAGGACCGGTTAGTGCGTGGCAGACACAGCAGCAGGGGAGGACTATGGGAATAAGAGGAGGGCATTCTGGGATGTGGTTGAGATGGGTATAAGTATTATGGGAAGGACTGTAATAAAGTACAGATTGTCTAAAAGTCAGTGGTTATAGCACTATTCTGTGGATTTTGAACATTTTGCTGGTTTCTCATAAAATGATTATATAAATAAATGAATGAAATGATTATTTGAAAATGAAATAAATGATTATTTATTCATGAGCAGATTTAAATTCTAATTCTTACTTTAAATATTCATGCACATTTTTTTTGTAAATAAGCCAACCCTAGGGTCACAATTACTTGTACTTGGTAGGGATTTGAATGAATAACCCTCATTTGTAATGCTTAATAGGATGAGTAGTTCGTTCCTTCATGAAAGAGGCATGTACTTTACTAGTTTCTTATTGTCATATAGTCTACTGTTCAATCGTTTGGGGTTGGTAGTCTCTTATGCTCACCAAAGCTGAATTTATTTGATCAAAATCATTAAATTAACTGATTTATATTTTAGCGATTTTTTTTATTATTTAATAAGCTAATTTGATGAAGACACTTTTTTTATGTTGCTGCTCAATATTCCTGTGGAAACCATGGTATATTTTTCAGGATTCTTTGATGAATAAAAAACCTAAAATTAAACATATAATTTGATAAAAAGTGACTGCAAATTTGATAAAAAGTTTGATTTTTTGATCAAACAATTGATTTCCCCCCCCCCCAAAAAAAAATTTTTATCAAAAAAAATGATAAAAAGTGACAGCAAAGACATTTGAAATATATATATATATATATATATATATATATATATATATATATTAAGGATTAATTTCCTTTAAAAAAATGTACTGACCCCAAACTTTGGAAAAGTGGTATACTTTTTTGCTTCAAATCAAAATTTGCAATGTTATGATTAATTTCAGAGGTGATTAGTTTGGTTCATGGCTTATTCTTTTTTGAAGAATGTTTTTAAATGAATGGGAAAAATGATTCCTGAAACCAAGACTGGAAAAATGAGTCATAATTTCTCTCCATTATGCTTTGCTGTTTAAAGCATCAATGCAGTGATCTCTCTTTTTTTTACCCTTTTGTTTCATGCACATGGCCTATAGTTGATGATGTTGAAATCATAGGGAAGAAAAGGGGGGGACTTGCATTGCCCACATGAGTCAAAGCATGTGCTAGGGTGTTGAGGATGATTTCCAGGGCTTGCTGTATGGTTTCTAGGATTTCTGTGGGTTTTTTTAAGAGTGCAAGATAAATCTTAGCTCACCTGTACAAGTGTACAAGATATTCTTATCCCTACACATGTATCAGATCATTCCTAGATAGTACATTAGCATTCAAAAGATATTTGGTGAATCAAATGTGTTCCAATAAAACATTAAAGAGCTTTCATACATATTAAGTATTTCCAGAATATCAGAAGGCCGGTTTCACTATCACAGAAACAGAGCAGGCGGGAGAGAGGTGTTTGCATCTCATTTGAGCATCCCGATGCTTCGTGGTGTGAGGTCGAGGCTCCAAGCAGGGCAGGAGAGATGGAGTGAGATTGTTGTAAATGAAAGGCTGCAGGTGAGATCATCCTCTCAGTGGATCATAGTGGATGCAGGAGGAGGATGCTGAGTTCAGATTGAAGGGGGAAATTAAAGAAGGCCAGAGTCTGCTGGAGAGGCACACGCTCGGGTTTGAGGCAGCTGAGGGACTTTTAAAGAGAGAGTGGAGACAGAGAGAGCTCATAAAGGTGAAGAGGAAAAAGAGGAATGAGCAACGGAGAAGCCTTTTGACAGATCTCCAAGACGAGACATAGGAGACTGAGGAACTTTTCTGTTTAAACTGGAAGGCAATACAGTAATTCAATCAGGTTTCCTTTCCTTTAAATTTGTTTAAAGAAATAGTTCACTCAAAATAGTAATTCTGCCATCAATTACTCGGCTTCATTCCAAATTTTTCATATTATGGAAAACAGATTTTTTTTTCCCAGTTCAAATATCTGAAGATAAAGATAAATATACTTGAAGCAACACTGCAGACTTGGTTTGAGAGATTGTATCTTTATTATGAGTGTATTTTTTTACTACACTGGCAGTTTTTTTTTACTTGTTTTAAATATGAAAATTTAAATTCTGCTGTTGCAATAAGACAAACTACGACTCTGAAAACAAGAGGTTATTTGATTTTTACATTAACATTTTAAAGATACACTAGCATAAATGGTGGGGTTTTGTGGGTGATATTGTAAACTGAATTACTGCTGTAAGAAACAAGATCTATTCATAAAATGCAACATAAAATAAATAATAATAAACAATTATAGTTTAGCACAATGTTTGTTTATAAAATAAGTTTGTATGTAAAAAAAAGTTTTGAGATTCTGTTTTAAAAAGAGAAAGCCATGTTCTGCCAATGCTGCAAGTTCTTCACCTGTCAGGCCTTTTGGAGGGTCTGCAGTGTGTCAGACTGATGACATTGATGTTCAGGGAGGTCTTGTCAGAAAATTGCCTGAATGCTGAAGCTGAACCGTTTGAACAGTTTCAGCTCTGTCAATCAGTAGGTCATTCTCAGCTGCTTTCTGGCCTATATGCTTTCACACATGCACATTAAAACCCACTGCAAACCATTGGACATGTTGCAGATGTGTCCCACAATGCTATTGGAGACAGCTGTTTATCCTTGCTTCTGCCCCTGAGCTTTACAGACTCCACATTAATTCACTTCCAAACCAAGCATGGTTTGTATTGACCACACAGCCCAGATCAGCGTTGATGATTTTGCCAGGTCAGCTTGGGTGTCACTCCATCCAGACCTGAACCTGCCACCCAATCTCTCAGAGTCATAGCCCAAAGAATCCTGACAAACTTACTGTGTGCACCAAGAAGATTGCAAGAGTTATAGACCTCAAGAGAGCTGTGGAGAGGGAGTGAACGACTCACCTGTGTCAAGGATGCATGAGAATATAGCTTTGGCTTGTACTTATAAAGTGTGTCAGTGCCAGGAATCCGAGGAGGAAGTAGAGAAGGAGAGCTTGAGTGGGCGTAAACGAGAACTGAATTGACTCACCCTCTATGACTCTCTCGTCTCTCTAAAGAAAGTCTTTAAGTGCTGAAAGCTGTCACTTCACCAGAGACAAATCACTTCAGGACAGTTTAGAGAACGAAGCTCAGTGTTGCAGCAGGAAGAGAGAGAAAGATGCAATCACTATTTGGGTTTCCATTCATGTATTTTTATGTGCATTTTGAGATCTTGCATAAAAATTGCTGTATGGAGAAACTGAGATGTGCAAGATTTACAAAAGATCCATAACAAACAAACAGTTCTGCTCATATGTTTCCATACCCCTTGCCTTGCAGAATATGTAAGATATTATACATTTTTACAAAATAAGAGAGATCATAAAATTTGCATGTTATTTTTTTATTTTATTTAGTATTGTCCTTAATAAGCTGTTTCACATAACAGATGTTTACATACAGTTCACACTCTTAAAAATAATAGTTTCATAATCCATAGATAGATAGATAGATAGATAGATAGATAGATAGATAGATAGATAGATAGATAGATAGATAGATAGATAGATAGATAGATAGATAGATAGATAGATAGATAGATAGATAGATAGATAGATAGATAGCAAGATAGATAGCAAGATAGATGCTCAAGAAGGAAACATTATGCAATAAGAAGACAAACCACACATTTTAAGGTATTCTTTGCTCACGGTATGAAGATGCTAATTGCTAGGAAGTTGATTTCCATATAACTAATTATTTCCATATTACAATATAATTGGATTATGACAGTCACTAAAATAAATAAACTGTTAATTGGACAACTTTGTGTGTAAAATACAATACAATAAAGAATGAAATGGTCTAAACCTCGAATTACATGCAATTTTACATTTGGACTTTGCAAGTAAAAACTAAAAAAATATGCAATGTTACACGGTAGAAGGAAATTGCCAAGTCCATGCTTGACAAGACATGAATATATTTAATATATATTATGAAGTTTCTTATTTTTGTTTTCATATACATTAGTTTATAATGTTTTGTTTTACATTTTCTGTTTAGTTAATGTGTATTGCATTTTTTTAGTGTCTGTGTTACCCTAATGTTGTTTTGTCTTATACTCTGTCTATATATGAGTATTGGTCTTGTTGAATTCTGATTCAGCATGTGGCTTTCTATTGAGCCACCTGTATTATTGTTGGAGTCCCCGTTTCTCACTGTTGCATTTGTGTATTGCTGTGTTCTTGAATAGTTCCTCAGTGGGAGGAAAAGGTCAAAGAGTGGAAGAGCTTACAGTCACCCAAGGTTTCCTGTCACAGCTCTGGACAATATTCTTTGCTCTATTTACCTTGAAATGACTGTCCAACTACCCACTGTATGGATCTATTCAAGGCTCTCAACTAATGTGTTTTCGACATGTTAGTGATAAATGAAATCCATTTGGTGTTCCAAGCCTCCTCCAGCACAGAGCAGTATCTCGGAAACAGAACAGGTCTGAGTATCACGGAAACAGACCAGGTCTGAGTATCACGTAATACCAACATTGTGCTGTGTTTTGCAGTATTCCTGGCTCTGCAGTGTGTGCTTTCGACATGGAGCAGCTGGCCGGAGTGTTTGATGGAAGATTTAAAGAGCAGAAATCGCCCGAGTCGATATGGACACCTGTTCCAGATGAGGTTGTGCCCAAACCGAGGTACTGAATGAAATGACATTTACAACTGTAGAGAGTGTTTTATGTCCTCAAATGCCAACCTGCAAAGAGAAAGTTTATAATAATGCGATGCGTTTATGAATTTCTCAGGCCGGGTGGTTGTGCCGTACAAGGCACGAAGTTCAACTCCTCCAACTCCTTCCCTGATGATATGCTAACTTTTGTCAAGACCCATCCGCTGATGGATGAAGCCGTCCCATCGCTCGGTCAAAGACCATGGATTGTTAGGACCATGGTCAGGTGAGGACAACTTTCTCTCAGGCTGCACAGGCTCAGGCTGGACACACAAGGTATCTGGTCTGTCACTGGTCTGAAGTGGAGTACCAGCTCTAGTTGAGCTACCAAGTTGACCTCAATCAAGTAGACGTCCATCAACCACCTAGTCTACCTTGATCCAGCAAATTCTGAAAACCTTCAGAAGCTGATTTTAGCTGGATTTTTCCACTCCAAGCAAAAGAACACTAGCTGCTAGCTTTCTCCGGTCATGCTTTTCGTCTCTAAGTTCCAGCCTGTGTCGTCTGCTCGCATTAGTATCTGTCCAATCTCAGTCTTTAGACTATGGGGTTCCAGCAGCTGGGGTTTCTCAGCATCCCACAGGGCACAACAAGATTATGGTGACAAGTTGTTTGTGTCATTTTAAACACTCAAGGAGATGAGTCTTATTTTAGAAAACTGAATCATCCTAGTAGAGCTGTTTTGGTTTCCTCAAGATATGCCAGTTTGCCAATGCAAATTGCTTTTCGGATTTATGCGCCTTGTTATTTTGGCAGCAGGTTTTGGTTTACAATTTAATGCCTCTTTTCCACATTCGGTCCCATTTGAGAATGAATTAAGTTGTCTTCTGTTGCTTTCAGATACCAGCTCAACAAAATGGTGGTGGACACAAATGCCGGTCCCTATGGCAACCAGACAGTCCTTTTTCTGGGTTCCAGCCGAGGGACCATCCTCAAATTCCTCGTTACCCCTAACAGGGATAACACTGTGACGAACAGCAACGTGTTCCTCGAGGAACTGGAAGGCTACAACCCAGACAGGTAGAGGTTAATGTTTGAAACGTGCCCTTTTGTGATTGTAAATTGGTGGAGAATCACAAGCCACAGCATGCAAACAGATGGGGCGTTAGCTGGTCATTATTTATTGCTGAAGGTGGTAGGAGTTTGCAAGCAACACTCATTTTCCATGGGTATTGTGCTAATTGCATCTTGATCCAAACAGACAAAATGGTGTTTATTCCGTTTCTCCTCACATTCGCACATTCCACTTATTAAAAAACCGAGAAACTTTTTACACTTTAGTCTAAAGCCAAAAACATATGCTGTAAATCTGGCGAACCTGTCTGCCTGGTGTTAATTTCCAAACGCAGAATTAGCTAAACAAAACAAAGACTCTTGATAAAACATGAATCAGCACGAATAACTAAAAATGGCCGTGCAATTTATCAGAGTAGGAGTGTGTATGTGGTGAGAATGGCGGCTAGGACAGTGCTAGCTTTGTCTAGCGCAGTGGGAAACAGGCTAATCAGAGGAGTGTAGATGGAGTAATCGGATCAGGCTCCGATCATGCTGGCCTTACATGCCCTCTGCCATCTCTCATCACTCGGCGGTAAAGAGGTAAATCATTTGACTCGCGCGGGGTCAGGGAGGCCGAGACCGATGGAAACTGCTCAAAAATGCCTGTGTCATCATCCATATCGATCAAGATACTGTGGCGAAACAAACAATTACACAATTAAAATGACGGGCTTGGGTGTTAGTTCATCTCAATCTCTTTTTATAAACGCTTTCCTATTTATCTCGCTCGTCTTTGCATCTTTTGTGTAAGTTGTCTGGCTTTTGTGTATGTAATAGTCTTTTTCTCGCTTGTTTTCTGTGATCTAACTATAGCAGTGGTTCATATTCATCTCTTACGTCTTCTGTTTCGCTCTCCTACTCGCATGTGTCAAGAGAGCCAGCTTTTTTCTTCGTAAATCAGTTTAAACTTGCCAGTGGCACCTCTTTATCTCACCCCCTCTCTCTGTTCTCTTCCTGTTTCTCTCTTTCGTTACTTGTTTTGGCTGCCTAAAAAAGGAGCTGTACGACTGCAAGGATTCATTCATTCATTTTTTTTTTCTCTCTCTCACTACACATTTTTCAACTAGGCCTGCCAATTAAATGTGTTAAATTTAGTGACATAGTATACATATTCACCTTAAAGAATCATTCTGTGTTTGTGCATGTTTATATATGCATATGTGTGTATGTATGTATATATATATATATATATATGAAGAGTTCAGATGCAAAAGCCTCTAAATGCCATTTGAAATGTTCTTCTTTAATGATGATTTTTATCAAACTTGTATATTTAAGTTCAGTAATTTCACTTAAATAACAATTAATAGGTAATTATCATTGCCATTTAAGTGAAATCACTGAACTTAAATATACAAGCTTGATAAAAATGACCATTCTAGAAGAAAATTTCAAATGGCACTTAGAGGCTTTTGCATCTGAACTCTTCATATATAGTATGTGTGTGTGTGTAAGTAGATCAAGCTCCCAATCAGCATTTTAGTGTTATTTTACAGAAGAAAAAAAAAATTAATAACAGATCAATTTACTTGAAAATCTAACTCAATTATCATATATATATGATTAATGAGATTAATGTTTGCCATATAATGTAATCAATTTAAAACATCTTTAATTGTTAATTGAGTTAGATTTTCAAATAAATTGATTTGTTTTTAATTTTTTACTAAACACTAAAATGCTGATTGGGAGCTTGATCTCCTTTCTCATTGCCTTTGGTAAGCGTGGCTCATTACTCCGATCCAATGCATAAAGTACTAATGATATTGCTATTGAGGCCATTATGGTAAACGTTTCTATAACCATATGTCATGTATGTGTGCATATACAAACAAATGTGCTTTCAAGCCAGCATGGCAAGTGCAAAAAAGAGATACTCTTAGTGGTAAGTGGCAATTAAGTGTAAAGCACAGAGGAGTGGGCGGCTGCCAGACTCCCAGATATCAATCTGATTAGATACTGAGGCCAAGCACAAAGTGACAACACATTAATATGATATTGCATTAATGCGACACGCGTTTTCTGTTTGAAGCCCTTTACGCCTCGTCCTATTTTTCTTTCAGAGGGTAAAAGTTTGTGTCAGTTCGCACATATGCGTATATAACAAGCTGGTATCTTAATGAATAGATGGCCTTGGTGGAAATTTTTCATGATCTTTAACAATATAAGATTCAAGATAACAGCAAACTTTCATAACTTGACCCAAACTTTCATTGGTCTAATGTGTTAAAAGGATATTAGTGTGTGTGTGTGTGTATTGAGTTCCGATAAACTTTATCAGACTGTGTTAGGCTTAACTGTTTAGGCTTTATTAAGGTCATTCTGTATCAAACTGTGCTTGAGTGTTTTCTCTGTGTAAATTGTGTTTGACTTTATCCCTGCACTCTTTTAATTTGTTGCAAATTGATTTGGACGGTGTGTGTTCCAGGTGTGGGACGGACTCTCCTCAGGCCAGGCAGCTGCTATCTCTCACGCTGGACCGCATCAGTCACAGCCTCCTACTGGCTTTTCCCTCTTGTGTGATCAAAGTGCCTGTAGCACGCTGCCAGCTCTATTCCCGCTGCATGAAGTAAGTGACACACACACACATATACACACAGACACTCCCAACACACACTCACACTCCCAGAATGACTAAACACTAAGCTTGTAATTGTCTTAACCACAAATTGTTGGTCAGGAAATTAACTAAATTTAAGCAAATACACTACTTAAAAAGCCATTGATGTCTCAGAAAAACAAACATCAAAGACAGAATATTAAGGTTTTGGGCAGAAAATGGGAAGTTGTGTGGAGTGATCACGGTGATGCTCCAGAGTGGTGCCTTTGGTGAGAATCTGGTGAGAAATATAATAATAAAATGCATCTCTACCACAGTGAAGCATGGAGGAAGAGGTGTCATTGTGTGGGAAGCCTTTTTAGCTGCTGGTATTGGTGAGCTACTGTGCAAAGTCATTTAATGCTTTGGAGTACTGGAGAATACTGCAGAATGGCTTGCTTTCCACAATTGAAAAGTTATCTAAAGAGGAATGATCAGATGTTGCTTTTCAACAAGACAATGCTCCTGTCCAAGTTGTAAAAACAACCAAGAAGTGGCTTGAGGACAAGTCAGTATGGAGCATCTGTTTGGAAATCAGTAACGATCCAAAACACACCACACATGCAACAAAGGCTTTTCTTAATCCCATTGACATCCTTTGAGAAATTGTATACCTCAAACAAAGCTGATCAATGAATCTCAGCTTTGGGGAAATAATTAAGAAGGCTTGGCAAGATATTAGGCATGGCACATGCACAAAACATATTTGTTTGTTAAAGTAAAACTCTGGTCAATTTTAACATTGAGCTATTTTTTTGTACATTTGGAGTGCTTTCAGTACAGACAAAAACGACAAAAATCGGTGTTGCCTATACAGTGTTATCCTCTTTTTAAAATTTGCACCCTGTTGACTTCAATGGGGCAAGTACTAGACCTGCTTTTAGCCATCTTAACATCTTGTGAGCTGGCTGAATTAACATAATTTTTATTAATATCTTTCACATCTACTGCAGTCAGATTGACCGTGGTCACTCTTAATAACACCACTCACATGGCTGTGCACTTGTAATGACAAATCAAGGATGTTAAGAGGCTAAAAGGAGGTTTAGAACTTGCCCTATTGAAATCAACAGGGTGCTAATTTTAAAAAGAGGATAACACTGTATAGGCAACACCGATTTTTGTCGTTTTTGTCTGTACTGACAGCACTCCAAATGTACAAAAAAAAATTAGCTCAATGTTAAAATTGACCGGAGTTGTCCTTTAAGGTGTGATGTAGGGAATACTGTTTTCCAGGTTCATGCCTCCATATACAATCTCAATAGCCATTTATGAGCACTGTTTATTCATATCACACTTTTAAGCTGTAACGTTACAGTGTACACTACAGTCTCCGAGCTCATGGCATCCCAGACACCAACATTTTAAACATTTATAAAAGATGAATCTCGATCTGGCCAACTGAGATTTTATGTAGAAATAGATTTTTCTGTATTATTACAACACAGTGCGAGTGTACAGTATATTAGCCCTGTTTGTTGTTTGCTTTTGGTATTTAATAGAGCGCTTGAATCCGAAAATGATGACACATGATGTCAGACTTAACAAGCGAATAGTCTATTCCTATATAATAGCTGCTGTAATCAAAAACAAGGGGGCACCAACAAAATTATATTGTAGACAATGCATGTTTTATTTCATGAGCTTTTTGTTTTTATATGCATTTTGTATGGGAATATAAAATCCATATTCCATGATAATATATAGTTTGCCTTTATTTATTTATTAAATAAATTTACCTAGCTAACTGTGAATCTCCCATTGACTCATTGATACTGTTGTTAAGTATAGCCATTCAAGCTAATCCAGAACTTAAAACTACCCCTAAAATACAAATTTAACATGAACAGTGACATCATTTGTCCTTTTAAAAACAATTCTAGCAATTGTTTATAGCTTTCATCTCTAGGATAGCTTTGTGTTTCTGTGATCACTGGTCAGGGTCAGGCACCAGCCCGTGCTCTGTGTCTGTGTCCATGGGCCATCGGTGCAGCCCAGTGAGGCGTACTAACACATGTCACACATCTAATGTGTGCACTGAACCAGGTGGATCATACTTGGATGAAATCCAGCGGAATTAAACTATATACAGTCAGGCGCCGTAGGGGTATCATTCATTCTTTTCTCTGTTGTTTCACAGAAACTGCATCGCCACACGGGATCCCTACTGCGGCTGGACCAAAGGAAGCACATGCTCTTTCCTCCGTGCAGGTACCAGGTGAGTTTCGACAATGTACCTGAGAACATAACGTCTTTTTACAAACATAACAAGAGTTCCACCTTCAAAGCATCTAAAAAATACTACTTTTTGTGTTGTGCCTCTGTTTAAATACACTTGTGAAATTATATCTGTCCTCAGAGAGACCGCTTTATTGAGTTTCGTGTGCAAATACAGGTTGTCTGCCGGTATTCTGAGATCAAAACTTGGAGACGTTTTACCTCAGCGCCATTATGCAATTACAGCTCTCTGGCTGGATCTGATTTGATTTACCAAGGACGGTCAACCTGTCGATCGATTCTATCTGGCATAATGCTGAAAAATTCTCACCAATTGAATTTCACAGCGGAAAAACGACACAGAAGTAGTTCTAATTACTGCCACTTGCTAATATACACAAACAGTGAATATGCAAAACATGTTCAGGGACGTTCTGTCGGCTGTTTATGTCATTATGTGCTTTTCAATTTCTAAAGTATGGCTAATGTTCATCCTCAGGAGAGCGGCGGGAAGGAATCTGTGTGCTCATTTAAATTCTCGGGGTGGTTTACCGCTATAGTAGTGTATATATATATATATAAAGCCATCTTCTCTCAGAGGAGTTCTGGAGATTACTGCTCTGCGCCTGCAGTTTGTAGAAACATTATATTTTATAGACATTTCACAGAAAGCGTTTAACCTCACGGGTGTTAACGTATCTTCTGAAAAACTAAGACCCTGGCAGTAAAAGACCCCTGGCTGCCTTGTTGTCCTGAGCTTTAACCAATTGCCGACGGTAGTGGAAAGAGGCTGGTCCCCCAATGCACGCTTCTGCTGTGCGTAGCCTTCGGCCTTTCCTCTGTTTGACTTATGCGGTTGGAAGGAAGCCATTCGTGAGTCGACTGCAGTCATTTTTCTTCATTAATGTGGCTTTAAGGTAACACAGAACATCTCTAATAGAGCACTGTGATGCCTCTGTGTGTACAAGATTTGATCACGAGCACAGATTGAGTTTCTGCACACATCCACCACAAGCTTTTAATTTGCAATATTGCTTATTATCAAAGGACCAGAAAAACAAGACATTTTAGAATGACCCTTCAAGACAGCATTAAAAATTGTGTTTTTCTTTCAAAGAAAAATAGAGAGAGAGAAAAAATACATAGGCATTACTGTAATTCAGACGGTGAGGTTTTATGGCCTATTTATGTGGTTTGCTGATGAATGTTTCTACTACTGTTCTTTCACCACAGGCTTCCCTTCGAGCAAGACGTCGAGCACGGGAACACTTCTCACTTGGGCGACTGCGACGGTAAGTGTACATTTTTATTAGAACAATAAAACTCTTCACGCTGTGACCTCCCGTTCTCTCCCCTCGTCCCGCCAGACCTGCAGCCGCCGCCGTTTTCCGCCCCGTTTTGAGCTTCTGTTCTGCTGCAAAGTGATCACAACTCGCGCTTTCTATTTATAGTTCCCCTTTCATCTGCTATTATGTTCGTCTTGGTACAGAGGTGAACCGCTCTGGGTGGGGTTCATCGCAGCAAATCAATCGTTCAGTCTGAAATACTCAGTCGACGTAGAACCCCTTTGATCTCACCGCTGATTCTGCACAGGCATTGGTGCATGTTAATCTTGGGTCCACCGCAGGAGACCTCGCTCATCTGCTGTGAGCCACAAACACTCGGATGTATAAATATTGCATAATGATCGTGTCTGCCTGGCTGGATTTTAATCTGCTCATCAGGAGCTTTTGAAGTTTTCCAGGCCCTGTTTCAGTTGTGGCGCACAAGCCAGAAAGTAATGGGGTGGTGGGGCCAACTGCTGTATTTGCTAATGTGTTTCCTAATGGAGAAGATCAGTAAGTCAAGGCAAAAAATAGTATGAATAATGTCATGTAAGAGAGCTTTATTTTGTTTTTTGATATGCTTACACAACATCCTAGCATAAGTTTGTTCTGTTTCAAAATTTTGCAACTCAAATACTGTTAAAATACCTGCATTCCAATTAGATATTGTTAAATTCTTATTGTTAAATTAATTAATGCATCAGGTATCATGAAGTAACCTATCAAACCCTGCCTTTATTTAAGCATTCGTAAATATAGATCCATTTTAAATAATATAGAATGTGGAAGTAGTGTTGTCACGATACCAAAATTATTGTTTCGATACCGATACCAAGTCAAGAATTGCGATTTCGATACTTTTTCGATACTTTTCCTGAAGTAGGCGTTTTACATGCACCTCCTTTGTGCAGGTCTGTTCTCTTTAAATGCTGTAATAACCTAATATAAATAAATCACTTTGCACACACCAGCATGAAATCCGTCTCTTACAAATCAAATCTGGAACGCGGTCATTCATAAAAGTATCGATGCTAATAAATGTAGGTATCGTGAGGTTTTTAATTTCCGAGTATTGCAATACCTGTATCGGTGCACCGTCCAACACAGTAGGATCAGTTTCCTTATCTGTTCAACATATGATGTTCTCCCATCACCAAAGAACCTAAACCTCTGAGTAGGAGAGGATCCCTCTTGTCCTTTTTTGTTCATCACCTGCCACATTAAGGCACATTTTGACAGGATGTAAGGTGGCTCTTGTAAACCAACCTTGGCTAAGTACTGCGATGTTTGGCTTTAGCATTGGAAGGCAAGCGTAGCATTACCAATAAGTTGCTGTCTGTTCTAGCAAAACATTACACGCAGAAGACAGTTTTCCTCCGCCCAGGCGAGCAACCACCAAGAAAAGGTGTTACAACCAATTCTCGCCCTGGACAACTGGAAGCTGGCAGGGACTGGAAAATGCTGGCTGATCTTGATCAACGGCTTATTTTTCCACCTGAGATTGCCACCACTAACCTCCGACCAGATATTGTTTTGTGGTCTGGATCAGCACGCATTGTTCAACTGATAGAGTTAACCGTGCCATGGGAGGATGCTATAGATGAGGCATATGAAACTGCAGTATGCTCATCTGGCCACTGAAGCAGAACAGTGAGGATGGAGAGTCCAGAGCTGTGTCTGAAACCGCTCACTCGTTCACTCATTCACTAATCCCTATATAGTGTATGGGTGCACTATATCTGCAAGGAGTGAACGAGATGAAGTGAGTGAATTCGGACGCTGACGTTTACACTGTGCGTCGGAGAGTTGGAGCTGTCGCAGTAAAGGCTTCGTCACGCGTACTGATAAAACTCCTTTTATCTTACATTACCTACTTTATAAAATAATATTAACAACAATAACAATCATAATGACTTTATTTTGTAATTATATACCTCCATGCCAGCTTTGTAGTTTCATGGACTCAAATTGTAACTCTCACGTTCACAGATGAGGTGTCGTCGAGCGCCCTCCGGCGACCGTTATTATATTCAAATGAATACGCTTCTTAACGACGATTAACGGATATTTTTCAAATCCTCCACTGGATGTAATGTAATCTCTGGTTTAAACTTGCTCACTTTCATGCGCGCTCAGTTCTCTCCGCATTGGATTGTGGAAAATAGGGCTTCAGCAAGTGTACATCGAATGTACACTCGAATTCAGAGAGGACTGTGGGTAAAAGTAGTGAATGAATGTAGGGAATGATGTTGTTCACTCAGAATTTGGACACCACTACAAAATGGCCGACACCCGATATAGTGCACTAAATAGTGGATAGGGAGCGATTTCAGACACAGCTCAGGTTTACCAGTGGAGGTGGGTTGTCGAGGATTTGTGGCAGTGATGTTGGATTTAGTGGCCAAGAGTTGCGTCACACGTAAATAACTTATCTGAAGCAGCTTAGAGGAGCAGCAACTGGCTGTGGTTGAGACGGAAAGATTCTGGCTGGCTGTGTACAGGCCGCCACGCCACGGTTTCGTAGAATTCTTAAAAAAAAACTCGAAGAGTCTGTTGGTTTATTTTTATAGTTTGCATAGTAATTACAGTTATTACGCTCCTGAGTATATTGCGTGAATGAGGGGTGGTAGTTGGGCAGATATTGTGTTAGATAGGTAGTATGCCATTGCGGTAGGTAGTATGCCATATAAGGACCTGTTACCATTGAACATACTTTAACGTAGACAGTGGGACTCGACAGCCTTAGTCAAAAGGGTTTGCGCGTATGGTTGGGTTGCGGAGAGATTGTGGTTGGGTCACGTGAACTATGAGGAAGGAGCAACCTCAGCAGCAGGAGGGATGCTGAGTTGAGTGGGGTGACTCTAGGATGCTAGAGTCACTGTCGAGCCCTCTTAAGGTGTCGTGGGCTAGTCAACGAAACACTGAGGACGGAAGGTGCCCACTTGAAGACCCTAGAGATGTCGCCTACTCGGCTCAATCTGGATGGTTGTGGTGCTGGTCCACTGGGGAGACCACACTGTAGTTGCAGCCGTCGTGTGTGCTGACGCGCCAAGTACACTGCAGCCGTATGGGAAGAAGCGTAAATGGATGGAGAAGCATAGTTTACTGTAAAGCTACGTCTTAGTTTGTGCTTATCTTGGCGAAAGCAGAGTACAAATCAGCATGAAGTTTAACATCTACTCTCGTGTAATGAAAATCAGTATGATGTATAATAATTAGGATTATTTTTATAATTTTTATGTTAATTATAAACTAATAATAAATAAATTATATACTATTTATACATCTCATAATTTTATGGCATTTTATTGATTTTGTGTGTGTGTTACCTATACTCGGGTACAATATTTCACTCAGTATTGAAATTATTGATACAAATATTTATTTCTGTTTCAGAATTAACTTTATCCCATATAATAGTTGCCGTGTAAAATTTCTGCCTTTTTTCTTATTTTTCTGCTGTCCAGAATTGCTGCCCTCATATTTTCTAGGAAAATGTCTAGCAAACCTTGAAACAAGATACATTTACTTAAGAAGCAACACTGCATTAAATATTAAGGCATGTTTTCTGTGACTGTATCTTTAATGCATGTGTCTTACTACTGCGGTGGCAGATGTTTCTCTCCACTTATTTTAAGTATAAACATGTTCAAAACAAGTGAAAACTTTGCCAGTGCAGTCAGACAAAATAAGCTTATGTTCAAAACATTTATCAAAATAATCTACAAAAACAAGTCTTAATATTTTATGTAGTGTTGCTTCTAGAGTAAATGAATCTTGGTTTAAGGAATATTAGCTTTAGATAAACCAGTGATGATCAGCATGTAAACTCTGGTCTGGTAGGCAGGGTATCTCTCTAGTCTAGTGTCTCTCTTGTGATTCTTAGACTGGGGGCTTGCATGGAAAGCATCTCATTCTTCATCGGTAACAAGTCGTGTGTAAATAAGTGTTTGCCTACAAGGCTTTGATCAGCAGACCGTGTGTCACATCCATCACTCTCCTCAAGTGTGCTTCTCTTGGGCCTGCAGTGCAGAGAGACACAGACCAGGGGTTGAGAAGTGGGCAGTTTAGAGGATGTAGCACTGCATTCATCACAGTTTGTAGCTGGTGACTGGCTTTCATCTAGTGCTGGGAGGGTTACAGACAGAAGATTCGGGGGGCAGCCTCAGTGATGGAGATCACCCGGATAAGGCTGAACTTCATATGACCCCAGATGTCCGCTCGCATGTCCGACAGGGCTTAGATGGTTGATGTTAACAGCTTCTGCTAAACGACAGAAAAGTGGTCGGTGGAAGCGGGGGCAGAGGAAAAGAATTGATTTTTATCTCGTCTCTCTCACTCGGTCTTGGTTGAATGATTGCGAAGGGTAGGATCCATAAACCAACTCTGCAGATGCAGAGCACAATGGTTGAGAGATGAAGTAAAGTATAGATGGAGGAGTGGTGGTGGTTGTCAGACAAGCCGGAGCCCGTGACTGAGGGCAGGTGTCTGGGGTGGGGTTGGGTGCGTAGACAAGGCCGTGAGTGATGTAGAGAGCAAGCTCTGATGTCTCCCGTATCACAGAACCGTCACTGCTGCAATTCCCAAAGGCCTGGCGCTGATATAACTCTCTGACACGCTCCCGACTGCACTGCAGTAGCGATTTCTCATTCCCTCACTCTTTCACTCTGCCTCTTTTGGTTTACAAATAGTCTTTTGACTTTCTCAAGAACAAGTGCTGCGGTTAAAACAAAGTTTTATCTTAAAGTTTTATAAATACCTAAAATCAAGATTTTAGGTATTTTTCGATAGTTTTTATTTTTATACTGTAAATGACCATTTTCCCAATTTCAGTTTGCCTTAAAGGGATAGTTCACTTGAAATTAATTTTTGATATGTTTTACCTCCATTATATGACTGACACACTCTAAAAAATGCTGGGTTGTTTTAACCCAATTTTGGGTCAAATATGGACAAACCCGAAATGT